CCTCTGTCTCTATTTTTTTTTTTTAAAAGATGGTGTGGTGTTATGATACATATTGGTTTTCATCCACAGCTCAGGACTCCCATTGTCCTTGTTAGTCTTTTGTTATAATATTGGGTGTGTTAGCCCTCAGGGGCAGTGTCTGACCACCTCCTGCCCTCCTTTCACTCTAACATTCCTGGGCCTTTCTGCCTGTGGGCCTTAAGATCCTCCCATAAAGCTTCCATGAAAACCCTAGAGGACAGGGTTTAGTGAAGCTTCCAGATGCCTGAACACCTGGAGGTTCCTGGAGGGTGGAGTGCCCACAGAGGGCATGGAAGCTCCACAGCCCTGCCCTCAAACCTCACCTTCCGTGTCTCTTCATCTGTATCCTTTGCAATCTACAGGCTTTTTTTTTTTTTTTTTTTTGGACGGAGTCTTGGTCTTTCACCCAGGCTGGAGTGCAGTGGTGGGCCATCTCGGCTCACTGCAACCTCCGCCTCCAAGGTTCAAGCGAGTCTCATTGCCTTAGCCTTCCTTGTAGCTGGGATTACAGGCACCCATCAAAAATGCCTGGCTAATTTTTTTTTTTTAAGTAGAGATGGTTTCACCATGTTGCCCAGGCTGGTTTCAAAGCCCTAACCTCAAACGATCCACTTGCCTCGGCCTCGCAAAGAGCTGGGATTATAGGCATGAGCCACTACACCAGGCCTGCATATGGTTTCTAATAAACCAGTAATTGTCAGTGTTTTCCCAAGTTCTGTGAGCTGCTCCCACAAATTAATTGGACCCAAAGAGGGGGTCATGAGAACCCCAGCTTGAAGCCTGCTGGTCCGAAGTTCTGGAGGCCCAGACTTGGGATTGGTACGGGGCAGGGAGGAAGTCTTGGGGACTAAGCCCTCAACCTATGAGATCTGACACTATCTCTGGGTAGATGGTGTTGGAACTGAATTAAAGGACACCCAGCTGGTGTCCAGTGCTGGGTGGGGAAAAAAGCCCCATGTGTATGGTCACAGAAATCTTCTGTGTGGATGATTGCTGTGGTGTGGGAGTAGAGGAAATGGTTAGAGAGTTTTCTCTAAACAATTGGTGTCGGCCGGGCGCGGTGGCTCACGCCTGTAATCCCAGCACTTTGGGAGGCCGAGACGGGTGGATCACGAGGTCAGGAGATCGAGACCATCCTGGCTAACACGGTGAAACCCCGTCTCTCCTAAAAAAAAAATACAAAAAACTAGCCGGGCGAGGTGGCGGGCGCCTGTAGTCCCAGCTACTCGGGAGGCTGAGGCAGGAGAATGGCGTGAACCCGGGAGGCGGAACTTGCAGTGAGCTGAGATCCGGCCACCGCACTCCAGCCTGGGCGACAGAGCGAGACTCCGTCTCAAAAAAAAAAAAAAAAAAAATTGGTGTCAGTGAAGTGGGATTTGCAGAATGACCCTGACTCATATAAACAAGTGGTTTGGGAAGAAAAATGATAAAAGGGTGGGGGAAGAGGTCTTCGATTCCTGGGTGACCATGTGGTCACCATGGTGTGAAGCCACAACTCTGCTGAGATCAGTTACTAAAGGTAAAACTTACCAGTGGAATTTAGAGATGGATCCAACTCCCCAGGAATTGGTTCATTGAATGCATAAGAAAATACAAACTAGTAAGAAAAATGTGAAATATTCAGTCCCTTGATTATTGTTATCTATAATGGCTAAAATGAAAGTAAAAGAGGGTGCTGGGTTAGGAATTGAGGCTGGACCAAGCACAGATGTGAGTCTGGCTGAGCTCAGGCCACTAGCCTCAGAGTCACCCACAAAGAAGAAAATTATGCAGGGACAACAGAAAGTACTTCTGAGACCTGTGGTTACCAAGAAGGTAGTCCGTGTGAAGGAACCAAGTAACTATTGAAACCAGAGAGTAGAGTGTGGAGGAATTGTTCCAGTTCGTAGATCAGTATTATCAGCTTCCTGAGGAAGATTTACTAAAATGGATTCTGAGAGTGACTAATTTAGGGGCAGTATGCAGAGTGAAAGAGCATGTTTGGGTGATGTAGGACTCACAGTTCACTATTCTAGTCACAGATGGGTATATACGATTCAGACACACAGGAGGTTATTCCTGAGGGAACAGCCAGCCTGGTGGAATGTAGAAAAGTCACTGTAAAGGCCGGGTGTGGTGGTTCACACCTGTAATCCCAGCACTATGGGAGGCCAAGGCAGGTGGATCACCTGAGGTCAGGAGTTCAAGACCAGCCAGGCCAACATGGTGAAACCCCATCTCTATTAAAAATACAAAAATTAGCCGGGTGTGTTGGCTCATGCCTGTAATCCCAGTTACTCGAGAGGCTGAGGCGAGATAATCACTTGAACATGGAAGGCGGAGGTTGCAGTGAGCCAAAATCATGCCACTGCACTCCAGCCTGGGCAACAGAAAGAGTCTCTGTCTCCAAAAAAAAAAAAAAAATAGCTGGCATGGTGGCCGGTGCCTGTGGCCCCAGCTACTCAGGAGGCTGAGGTGGAAAGATCGCTTGAGCCCAGGATGTCAAGGCTGCATAAAAAGTCTCAGAGGCCGGGTGCAGTGGCTCACGCCTGTAATCCCAACATTTTGGAAGGCCAAGGTGGGCAGATCACAAGGTCAGGAGTTTGAGACCAGCCTGGCCAATATGGTGAAACCCCGTCTCTACTAAAAATACAAAAATTAGCAGAGTATGGTGAAGCGTGCCTATAATCCCAGGTACTTGGGAGGCTGAAGCAGAAGAATTGCTTGAACCCAGGAGGCAGAGGTTGCACTGAGCTGAGATCAAGCCATTGCACTCCAGCCTGGGCTACAGAGTGAGACTACATCTCAAAAAAAAAAAAAAAAAAAGGCTGGGCATGGTGGCTCACGCCTGTAATCCTAGCACTTTGGGAGACCAAGACAGGCAGATCACCTGAGGTCGACCAACATGGAGAAACCCCATCTCTACTAAAAATACAAAATTAGCTGGGCGTGATGGCACATGCCTGTAATCCCAGCTACTTGGGAGGCTGAGGCAGAAGAATGGCTTGAACCCGGGAGGTGGAGCCTGCGGTGAGTCGAGATCGCGCCATTGCACTCCAGCCTGGGCAACAAGAGCGAAATTCTGTCTCAAAAAAAAAAAAAAAAAAAAAAAAAAATTTTAACTTGGCTGAGCATGGTGGCTCATGCCTATAATCCCAGCACTTTGGGAGGCTGAGGCAGGTACATTACCTGAGCTCAGGGGTTCAAGACCAGTCTGGGCAACATGATGAAACCCCTGTCTCTACCAAAAATACAAAAAAATTGGCCAGATGTGGTGGTGTACCCCTGTAATCTCAGCTACTAGTGAGGCTGAGCCAGGAGAATTGCTTGAACCTGAGAGAGGCAGAGGTTGTAGTAAGCCGAGATCGTGCCACTGCACTCCAACCTGGGCAACAGAGTGAGACTTTGTCTCAAAAAAAAAAAGACCTTAAGTGGCATTGACAGTGTTTGTGATTCTAGAATCAGGCTACATTTCATTCCATAAAATAAATAGAATGAGTATTCAGATGAGTCAAGCACAGGTTAGTTTTATGGATGAAAAAGGGCAGAGAAAAATAGAAACAGAAGAAAAAAAAGTAGATTGGTCATTTCAAAGTTACTTTTCTTGTAAAGGTTAAAGCAGAAAGGACTTCCGTATCATGCCGGCTAAAACTGGCCTGTTTGGGGTTTTGGCTGTTCCTTCTATCTCCTGATTCCTCTGAAGGTTTGATAAACAACTTAGTGTTGCTTAGTGACATGGAACTTTAGCATGAGTGACTCCATTTTGGTTTGGTCTGTTGGGCCTAGCACAGGAGCTCAGTGCAAACCAATAGCCTCCTATATAATTGAACCCTTGTGCATCGCTGGTGGGAATATAAAATCGCTGCAGCTACCATGGAAAATCATATGGCGATTCCTCAGAACATTAAACAGAATTACCATAGGATCCAGCAATTCTATCTGTGGGTGTATATCCAAAATAATTGAAAGCAGAGACTCGAACAGATACCTGTACACTCACATTCAAAGCAGCAACATTCACAACAGCCAAAGGGTGGAAGCAACCCAAATGTCCATGGAGGGATGAATGGTTATGCAAAATGTGGTACATCTATACAACGTAATATTATTCAGTTGTAAAAAGGAAGGAAATTCTGACACATGCTACAAAATGGAAGGATCTTGAAGATATTAAGTGAAAGCAGCCAGACCCCAAAAGACAAATACTGTATAATTCTACTCATATCAGGTGCCTAGAGTAGTCAAGGGGAAGTTACTGTTTAATCGCTATAGAGTTTCAGTTTGGGAAGATGAGAAAGTTCTAGAAAAGAATGGTGGTGATGGTTACAGAGCAATGTGAGTGTACTTGATGCCACAGAACTGTATGCAGTAATTACAAATGGTTACGTTGTTAAATTTTGGCCAGGAGTGGTGGCTCATGCCTGTAATTCCAGCATTTTGGGAGGCCGAGGTAGGAGGATTGATTGAGGTCAGGAGTTCAAGACCATCCTGGGCAACACGGTGAGATCCTCATCTTTATAAAAATACATTTTAAAAATTTAAAAATTACCTGGGCGTGGTAGCACACGCCTGTAGTCCCAGCTACTCGGGAGGCTGAAGTGGGAGGATCACTTAAGCCAGAAGTTCGAGGCTACAGTGAGCTATGATCGTACCACTGCACTCCAGCCTGGGCGACAGAGCGAGACACTTCTAAAAAATAAAAAATGAAAAGGTAACATACATGTGTATGTATTGTAACACCATTGAAACATAGAAATGTAAACGAAGAAAAGCTGGCTTCTAGCCCTTGGACCTAGCAAAGCTGGCAGAGTCCTCACCTACCAATATAGGTAGGTGACTCCTTACACGTGGACAAGCACGTCCACCTGGTCGCTTCGCCCCTACCCTCCCCTCCCTTCCCCTTCCCGCGTCTCCCCTCCCCTCCCCTGCCCTCCCCTCCCCTCCCCTGCCCTCCCCTCCCCTCCCCCACACATCCATGTTCCGACCCTGCCACCCCTAACAAGTCTCACTGCGCAGGCGCGGAGCGGTAGGCAGGAGCAGGCGTGGCCTGACTGTGCGCTTGTGCCGAATTCCAGCTGCGACTGCTGAGGGAGAAAATGATGCCCAGGTTGGGCTCCACGGCCCACCGGCCGAGGAGAGGCCTGCGCTGCACACGCGCAGACCGAGCATCCGCGTCAAGAGGCGAAGAGAGCGCGCGCTCCCCACGTCCTGCGCGCCTGGCTGCCAGGCATTCGTCTCAGCCGTGACTCTCGCCAGGCCGGGGCTGGGGCGCCCACGTCTGAAGAGCGATGCCCCGGGAGATCATCACCCTGCAGCTGGGCCAGTGCGGCAACCAGAGTGAGCAAGCGAGCGCCGCCCCCACCGGTCTCTGGTTCTGCCCCTTTGGGTCCCACCCAGGGGGACTGGCTTCCACCAGTCCCCCTACCCCTTCCATGAACCCCCTAGCCTGCTGCTCTGGATAACCCAGACCGAGAGCTGCGCTCCCAGCCCGGGACTGGGGCAGCCACCAGACCCAGGCATCTTGGGTCCACCCTCTGATCGTGTCGGCCTCTGAGACTAAAACTGGGCTCCTCAGGCCTTAAGGCTCCAGCAGACCCGGGCATCTCCCCCCTCCCCCAGTTGGGTTCGAGTTCTGGAAACAGCTGTGCGCTGAGCATGGTATCAGCCCCGAGGGCATCGTGGAGGAGTTCGCCACCGAAGGCACTGACCGCAAGGACGTCTTTTTCTACCAGGTGCCCCCAGCGACTTGGCCAAGGGCGGCAATGGCCCGAGGGGCCAGAAGGGAAGGGAGTGGCCTGGTACTGGGAACCCTGCTGGGCAGAGGGGCCAGGCGGCTGGCTTGAGGAGGGAGGGCTGGAGGGAGCCAGAGTTGGGAGGACTTAGGACTTGGGCCACCCTAGCTGATTGGGCCCCCTCCTGGACTCCCCTTGACAGGCAGACGATGAGCACTACATCCCCCGGGCCGTGCTGCTGGACCTGGAGCCCCGGGTGATCCACTCCATCCTCAACTCCCCCTATGCCAAGCTCTACAACCCAGAGAACATCTACCTGTCGGAGCATGGAGGAGGAGCTGGCAACAACTGGGCCAGTGGATTCTCCCAGGTGTCCAGGCGACTATTCCAGAGACCTTTGATAGTCCCATCCAGAGGCAAGGGAGGCTCAAGCTACTAGGAATTTGACCAGACTGCCAGAAAATAAGAGACAAAAGGATTCCCCAAACAAGAGGGACAGCCAGGGAGAGGTTTATGCAAATTTTGTGCAAATCATTTGCAATAGTAGCACTTCTGGGTTGAGGGCTACAGCCTAGGCTTTGCTTCAGGGTGGCAACAGTATTCCAGGGTAGACAGTGCTGTACTGAGAAAAGATGCGCTCTGGAACCTTTGGCCTGACCCTCCCTTTCCATGTCTCTATACAGGGTGAGAAAATTCATGAAGACATCTTTGATATCATAGACCGAGAAGCAGATGGAAGTGACAGTTTAGAGGTGAAGTTATGGAGTGGGGGAAGGAATGGGCAGGGAGGCTGAAGAGTGCTGGGGAAACGTCAGGAGGTGGCCTGGATAGGTGATGTGAGGGGAGCAATTCAATTCAAAACCCATTTATGGAGCATCAGATGTGGGATATTGAGGTGAATAAAATATAATCTTTGTTCTTAAGGAAGTCATAAATCTGAATGGCACTGGCCCCTTAGGCATGAGTCATTCAGCTTCTCCAGCTCCAAACCTTCCCAAGGAGCCTCAGCCTGGATGCGTAAGAGGAAGCTTTGAGACATGGGCGTTTTGGGAATGGGGAATGAGCCATGCCGAAGTCTTCCCCCAGATCCTTGGAGACTGCCTCTCCGTCTCTCCCCATGCTGGGCGCGATGTGTTCCTGGCTTACAACTCTTATAACCCATGTAATTTCCTAAGGGACTAGAGCAATAAGAGTATGTTTTGTTACAATATTTGACCTTTCGTCCTTGGTTTCTGAAACAGCTCCAGAACAGCTCCAGAGTGATAAAGGTGAAAGACAGTCTTTTGTTATTTATAACAAGCCCCTTTCTTTTAGATTAATCTTTCATTTTATTTTAATTAGTTAATTTTACTAACCGCTGTACTAAGGAGGAACAAGTGCATTTCAACCAAACCTGAGCTTATGTTAAAGAGGCGATTTTTTGGAAAGTCCCAGATAGCCACTGGATGGGGTGTTGGTTGCCAGGGGAACAAACCTGGTGCTCTGAGGGTTGGAATTTACAGGCCCATCCCTCACCTCTGGGGAAGGGAGAGGGATGAAGATTGAGTAGAGCACCAATTGTCAATGATTTAATCAGTCATGCCTGTGTAATGAAGCCTCCATAAAAATCCAAAAGGACTGAGTTCGGGGGCTTCCAGGAAGGTGAACAAGAACACATCCACAGGCCGGGAGGCTGCAAACCCAGCACCACAGGGCAGCAGCTCCTGTGCGCCGGAACCTTCCAGAGCTTCCCCTCGGTATCTCTTCATCTGGCTGTTTATTTGTATCCTTTAAAATATCCTTTATAACAAATGGGTAAACGTAAGTGGGTGTCTCCTTGAGTTCTGCGAGCTACTCTAACAAATTAATTGAACCCAAGGAGCAGTCCTGAGAACCCCGATTTATAGCCGGTTGGTCAGAGGCACAGATAAAACAACCTGAAGCTTGTATTGGCATTGGAAGTGGGAGAGTCTTGTGGGACTGAGCCTTCACTCTGTGGGATCCGATGCTATCTTTAGGTACGGATACTTCTCAACTTACAGTGGGTTTATCAGGACATCACAAATTGAAAATATTGACTAGGCACAGTGGCTCATGCCTGTAATCCCAGCACTTTGGGAGGCTGAAGCGGGTGGATCACCTGAGCCCAGGACCTGGGCAACATGGTGAAACCCCATCTCTGCAAAAAATACAAACATCATCCAGGCATGGTGCTGCCTGTAGTCCTAGCTACTTGGAGGTTGAGATAGGAAGATGCCTTGAGCCCAGGAATTCAAGGCTGCAGTGAGCTATGATCACACCACTACACTGCAGTCTGGGGGACTGAGTGAGATCCTGTCTCTAAAACCAAAACAAATTTGAGGCTGGGCGCGGTAGCTCATGCCTGTAATCCCAGCACTTTGGGAGGCCGAGGCGGGTAGATCAGTTGAGGTCAGGAGTTCAAGGCCAGCCTGACCAAAATGGTGAAACCCCATATCTACTAAAAATACAAAAATTAGCCAGGCATGGTGGTGCATGCCCATAGTCCCAGCTACTTAACAGGCTGAGGCAGGAGAATGGCTTGAACCTAGGAAGCAAAGGTTGCAGTGAGCCAAGATTGGGCACTACAGCCTGGGTGACAGAGCAAGACTCCGTCTCAAAAAAAGAAAAAAAAATTGAAAATATTGTAAGTAGAAATGTGTCAGGTTATAACCCAATTAGCCCATCATGAAGTTGAAAAATTGTAAATTGAACCGTTGTAATTCAGATGCTTCTTGATTTAAGATGGGATTACATCCTGATAAACCCATCATAAAGCCAAAACATCTTAAATTAAACCATCCTAAGTCAGGGACAGTCTGTAGGTAGTCCAGAATTCAAGTGAATTAGTGGATACCCAGCTGGCATCTACTGTAGAATTGGCTGCTTACCTGATGTGTGTGGTAAAACCCCACCCATCTGGTATCAGAATTGTGTTGTGAGAGTGTGGCAGGAGAAACTGAGTCTGTTTATTCCTGTATACACACAGGGCTTCGTGCTGTGTCACTCCATCGCTGGGGGTACAGGTTCTGGCCTGGGCTCCTACCTCCTGGAGCGACTGAATGACAGGCAAGCCTGTGTTCGGGGAGAGGGCATTAACCCTGGTTCCCTGGATAATGTCATTGCTTTTTTTCTCTTGAGCTAGAAAGTCTGCCACTACCCCTTTTGAGTCATAGGGACAGACCCACCCAAGGACCATGTTGGAAGCTATTTTGGGGGGTGGGGGCTTACCTATGGAGGGGAGGGGATCTACAGAGTTTGAAGCTTTCAGGTTTATCCTTTTTGGCTTTGAAGACTCAGTTCTGCCCTCACCCCTTTTGTACAAAATGGCACAGATGGGCAGTGATGGGGGGTCCTTCCAGTTCACTATGCCATCACCCTCTTTTCTCTCAGGTACCCCAAGAAGCTGGTGCAGACTTATTCAGTGTTTCCCTACCAGGACGAGATGAGTGACGTGGTGGTTCAGCCATACAATTCACTCCTGACACTCAAGAGGCTGACGCAGAACGCAGACTGTGTGGTGAGCAAAGAAAGAGTTGAGGGGCTGGGTGTGGTGGCTCATGCCTGTAATTCTAGCACTTTGGGAGGCCGAGGCAGATGGATTGCTTGAGCTCAGGAGTTTAATACTAGCCTGGGCAACATGTGAAACCCTATCTCCACAGAAAATACAAAAATTAGGGCTGGGCGCGGTGGCTCACACCTGTAATCCCAGCACTTTGGGAGACTGAGGTGGGCAGATCACCTATGGTTGGGAGTTCGAGATCAGCCTGACCAACATGAAGAAACCCCGTCTCTACTAAAAAAATTAGCCAGGCATGGTGGCATACGCCTGTAGTCCCAGCTATCTAGTCCCAGCTACTCAGGAGGCTGAGGCAGGAGAGTTGCTTGAATCCTGCAGGTAGAGGTTGCAGTGAGCTGAGATTGCACCATTGTACTCCAGCCTGGGTGATAGAGTGAGACTCCGTCTCAAAAAAAAAACAAAAAATAGCTGGTCCTGGTAGCATGTGCCTGTAGTCCCAGTTACTTGGAGGCTGAGGCAGGAGAATTGCTTGAACCCAGAGGCAAAGGTTGCGGTGAGCCAAGATCACACCATTGCACTCCAGCCTGGGTGACAAAGTGAGACTCTGCCTCAAAAAATAACATAAAAAAAAAATTAGCCGGGCATGGTGGTGTGCGCCTATAGTCCTGGCTACTCGGGAGGCTGAGGTTGGGGGATTTCTCAGAAAGTCAAGGCTGCAGTGAGCCATGATCACACCACTGCACTCAAGCTTGGGGCAACAGAACAAGACCTTGTGTTTAAAAAAAAAAAAAAGAAAAAAAAAGAGTAAAGGACTTTGGTCTGTCTCCTCAGGCCAGTGAGTCTCATTCACCCCTCCCTTCCCCAGCCCCTATACACACAGAACAGAGGACCAACAAAGCCATACCTGTGGGCCAAATTAGGAAATAAGGTCCTGACCTCTAAGTTTCTTAGAATCCTTTTAGGCAGCAAAACTCTCAACGAAGTGAATATACCTTCCCCCCACCACCATGTACCCCACCTTTGCCTACTTCATGCCCACTCATGCTTGTACTCTCAGCTCAAGGAAAACTTTCTTAGCAAAACCTTTCCTGACTACTCAGTCAAGATCAGATTACTTTGTATTTCAGGGAGTTAACTATACTTTTTTGTTTTATATTTAGTGTGCCTCCCTCCACGAGACTGTAGGCCTAATGAAGGGAAAGATGGTGCCTGTTCCTCTCTGTGGTCTCCCCAGAGCCAAGCACAGTGTATGGCACATGTGGGTACTCACGGGTTTGTTTACTGCCCTGCGTAGTCTGAGAGTATCTCATGATGCCCCAGAAACAGTACTTTTCTTTCTGTTATTTTTTATGTATATTTTTTACAGAGATGGCATCTTGCTGTGTTGCTTAGGCTGGTGTCCAACTCCCGGCCTCAAGTGATCCTCCCACATTGGCCTCCCAAACGGCAGGGATTACAGGCATGAGCCACCACGTCCAGCAGTACTTTTTTTTAAACTAACAAACCTACTTCTTGGCTTTGGAGTTCAGCAGGGGCTAAGCCAATATCTTATTTCTATGCCCATTTTATCCTCAAGATGCTGTGACCCTCTTCTGTCCCCGTAGGTGGTGCTGGACAACACAGCCCTGAACCGGATTGCCACAGACCGCCTGCACATCCAGAACCCGTCCTTCTCCCAGATCAACCAGCTGGTGGGCCCCCAATCCTGGACTCCTTTGGACTGGAAGCCCTCCTTGCTGGAGGGTCATCTGGGGAAGGAAAGTCCCAACCAGGCCGAGGCCCATGACATGGCACGCCTGTCCCCAGGTGTCCACCATCATGTCTGCCAGCACCACCACTCTGCGCTACCCCGGCTACATGAACAATGACCTCATCGGCCTCATCGCCTCGCTCATTCCCACCCCACGGCTCCACTTCCTCATGACCGGCTACACACCGCTCACTACGGACCAATCAGTAAGAGCAGCCTTCAGTGTCCCACGCCAGGCCGGCCCTGGGCCCAGCAGGCCCTGCCCTAGCCTTTCTGTCTTCCCCACTGCCCCAGGAGCTGCCCTTTGCGGGCCCCGAGGCACTGTGCTCAGGGACTTTATTGCTGACTTGCGCTCTACCCTCCCTCTGCCTTTGGCTTCTGCCAAGGAGAAGCCAAAGGGGGACTCTGCCCTGAGCGCTGGCCGGGTTCCTGTCTCACTGTCCCATCAGGTGGCCAGCGTGAGGAAGACCACGGTCCTGGATGTGATGAGGCGGCTGCTGCAGCCCAAGAACGTGATGGTGTCCACAGGCCGAGACCGCCAGACCAACCACTGCTACATCGCCATCCTCAACATCATCCAGGGAGAGGTGGACCCCACCCAGGTAGGGGAGGCCCCTTCATCCCGCACCCTGGACCCGCAGGGGTAGAGGAGAGGCCACCTCCACTGCTCGTGTGCCCACCCCAGGTCCACAAGAGCCTGCAGAGGATTCGGGAACGGAAGTTGGCCAACTTCATCCCGTGGGGCCCCGCCAGCATCCAAGTGGCCCTGTCGAGGAAGTCTCCCTACCTGCCCTCGGCCCACCGGGTCAGTGGGCTCATGATGGCCAACCACACCAGCATCTCCTCGGTGAGTCTAGGTTTCTGTTCTTCTCAGGAAGAGTCTGTTCCACTGGCTACCTTCATCATCTTCCCCAAGTTCACTCCTAACCCCCTGGCTCGCATTTTGGAGATTTTCATCTCTTTCAGCTCTTTGAAAGTTCCTGCCAGCAGTTCGACAAGCTGCGGAAGCGGGATGCCTTCCTTGAGCAGTTCCGTAAGGAGGACATGTTCAAGGACAACTTTGATGAGATGGACAGGTCTAGGGAGGTTGTTCAGGAGCTCATTGATGAGTACCATGCAGCCACCCAGCCAGACTACATTTCCTGGGGCACCCAGGAGCAGTGATTTCCCTCCCCACTACTCCTGGATGGGAAGCACAGCCTCGACCATGCCTGCTCCCTCTGACCCAACTTCACCTCATGGACAACCCTTCTTGGTTCATCTCCAGCCCATGAGCTTCCTCCTGCTTCCTCCCTTCCATGCCCTAACTCTTGATATGCTTGTTCAGCTTTAATAAAGTAATAAAGCTTGGTTGTCAGTATAGCCAGGGCTTGATCTGTGAATACAGGGGGTGGTGAAGGGGTCCAGTTTCTAGGCCTCTGACAGTAGGGTGGCTTTCACGTCCTCCAACGTCTTACCACTAAGTCCAAATCTTAGTGTGTTCACTGTTTCCACTGGCATCCCTCACCTTGAACTAAGCTGTTTTACTAGAGTCAGCCCTTGTCTCAAGATTACAGAGCTTTACTGAGGTTTGCTGTCTCCTCAGTGCCTAAGGTTTGCCCCAGTGAGGGTCAATGTTGCCCCAACCTCTTCCACTCAAGGCAGAGGAGGTGGGGTCTACCGAAGGAGGGCACGCTACATTACGAGCAGGCCAGAAGAGCCGAGACTCCAGATTCCCAGTGCCCAGGGCCATGAGAGTTCCAGGAACTCAATCCAGTTCAACCTAACCTGATTAGTAGAAACAGAATTCAAGAGTAGGGCTGAGCACATCCTGAGTTACTTTTCTGTGCCAGAGAAATTCATGGGTTTGTTATCTGCCCCAAGCTTCTCTCCATTCTAGGCCCAAAGCATTAGGCACACTAATGATGGGCCCAGAACTGGACACCAGTGTAAGAAATGGGCAGTGCCAGATCTGATGACTCATTGCCCTCCAGCCTCAGGGATTCCAGGAGGCCATCCGTATGCCACTCAATGAAGAAGGGAGGGTGAGTAACTGCCAGCTTCCAATGAGGCCTGTTTGCCTGCTCCACCCACAAGCCTGTGGCAGCATAATGGCCAGGAGGAGGTTAAGTCTGGAAGGTCAAGGAGGAGGCGGGTGAAGCGCTGTGGTGTCCAGACTTCCCCCAGAGCCTGGTAAAAGCCCAGGGTGTGGGCGTCCCCAGAGGCGGGGCTCTGCATTATGGGGTTCTAACTTGCCCCACTGAATAACACTCCCACAGGAAGGGTTTGTGTAAATAAGAAACTTTTTTTTTTTTTTTTTTGCTTCTCTTCTACAAATAAATTAAGAAACAAACTAGAAAATTGCCCACACCCATTGTAGCCCTTGGGTGTGGGATGTGCCCTGTCCCTGCAGGGCCAAAAGGGTCCATGTTTCCCTCAAATCTCGGAGCAGTCCTGGCCCAGGCTGGAGGCAGGAGGGAAGTCGTGACCTCTTGGCAGGCTCAGTCCTGCAGCTGCCCCAAGCAGCCAGACTGTCCCTGGGGCTCGTCCAGGCCGGGGTGCTGGCTGGGAGGGGAGGTGTCTGGCAGGTCTTGGCATGGACGAGAAGAGCTGCTGCAGGGCCTCTCGGGGGAGGGGTTGGCCAAGTAGGCATTCACCAGCTGCATGATCTCTTCCACCTAAGAGAGGGCAGAGGTCAGTGTGCAACAAGCGCTGCCAGGTTCTCTTCTTTTTCTCATCCTTTCTCCAGGCTCTAGGGCTCCAGTTTCCCCACCACGGTCCTACGTGCTATGGCCCTGCAACCTTTTCTTCCTTATCATCACTGTCTCCTTCATTTCTATGTGCCAGTCATACTTGGTTCTTTCTGCTCTTCTAACATTTTTTTTTTTTTTTTTTTTTTTTGGTGGTGTTGGTGTTGAGATGGAGTCTTGCTCTGTTGCCAGGCTGGAGTGCCTCGGCTCACTGCAACCTCTGCCTCCCGGGTTCAATCAATTCTTCTACCTCAGCCTCCCGAGTAGCTGGGACTACAGGTGTGCGCCACCACCCGCAGCTAATTTTTGTATTTAGTAGAGACAGGGTTTCACCATGTTGGTCAGGATGGTCTTGACCTCCTGACCTCGTCATCCGCCTGCCCCGGCCTTCCAAAGTGCTGGGATTACAGGCACAAGCCACTGCACCTGGCCGCCTTGCAATTCTTTCCACCTGGAATGCTGTTCCCCCAGGTCTTCCCTGGCTAGCTTAAATGGCACCGTTTTTGAGAACCCTTCTCTGACTTCCTGTCACATCATTCTTTCCTTTGTAGCATTTCTCACTGTCTTCATAGCCTGGGATTCCTTGTTTATTGTCTGACTCCCCCACTCTAGTGTAAGCTCCTTCAGCTTGTCTGTGATCACTGCTGGATCCCCAGTGCTTAGAACTCTACCTGGCCCATGCTTGGTGTTCCGAAAATGTTTCCTGACATCCCTTCCCTTCTCTCCTCCTCCCACAACTCCTCTTCCCACTCACCTGGGGGCTCTGCAGGAGGAGCTGGCTCTCTCCCACCCTCAAGGCCAGAGTGTGGGGGCCCATTAGCTGGCAGGCGGCCACATGGCCATAGCTGACACTGTGGATGGGCTCTGTCTCCCCCGGCCGGGAGAGAGACATGGCCTTGGCTCCCAAGCCCAGGCATAGCTTCTGTGGAGCACCCCCACCAGGCTCCTGCAGGCACAGGGGCAGAGTCAGGGTGGAAGGAGGAGTCCAGCGTTATTTTTGGTAGGGGGAGATGGGTGTCTGTGAGCAGGAGTTTCCTGATCCCCCTATGATTCACAGCACGTGTGTGGAGGGGGCTAAGGCTCCAGGGATGTGAGGGCCCAAGGGCTGGTGACTCCTGGGGTTTGAGGTGGGCTGTTCTGGATGTGGGGAATGACGTGACCCTCCGTGGGACCTGTGGCTCTGGGGCAAAGGTGTGGTGCTTGGGCCGCCAGAGTCCCCTTCTCCCTTCTCCCCCTCACCGTGCTCAGCTCCAGAACGTCATACCGAGCAGCGCCGAACCCCGGACACTGCGCCGCCAGGGCCAGGTAGGCGGCCATGGCCTCAGCTCGGCCCATGCCCCGCAGCCGCTTCCAGCCGCCCAGCACTGCAGCTGCCGTGCCGGCGCCGCCTCCTCCCTCGCGGGCCATGCTTCCCGCCATGCGGCCGGCCCCGCCGCGCCGTGCCCGCTCCGCCCGCCTCTTGGCCAGGCCCGGGCTCCAGAGGGCCCCGGCCAGCAGGGCAGCGGAGGGGGGCGGCCTGGGGGTCGGGCGGGGCGGGTCTTCGCGCGGCGGGGCCGGGGGCGGGAGCAGGCGGTCCAGGCGGGGCAGGGGCACCCGCGGGGAGAAGTCCCGGTGCAGGCTCTGCAGGCGCAGCGCCGCCAGGGCGCGCAGCGTGTCGTCGGGTGGGGGCGGCCGGCCCCGCAGCAGCAGAGCGTGAGCCTGCAGGGGAGGCACCCGGCGTCAGGCGAAAACGCCTCTCGGAATCTGAGGAGGTCTAGGTTCCAGTCAAGCCTCCCGCGGGGCTGCCATAGTAATGAGATGGCCCGAAAACCAGGGGTTCAGGCTTGGGGGTCTGTTTGGAGGCGTGAACGCCGGAGAGCCTCACCTGCTCAAAGAGGAAAGGCAGTTCGTGACCGTCTGGGGACAGCCCCTCAGGGTGCAGAGGTCCGTGAAGACGCAGACATAGTCTCCACCCGGAGTCGGGCGAGTCCTCCAACCCAGCTTCCTCCGCGGCCAAGCTGCAGAAGAGGAGCGGACGCCGCACTAGGGAGAAGCCTGACCGCACAGCTAGTGCAGCTCGGGGTGGGGGCGGGTCCATATGTTTGGGGCGGGGCCTGGGCGGAGCCCACCGCGGATGTGAGGCTGGAGTCGGACTGCAAACCTGCGGCAGGCAGGTCCGTCTGTAAGCCAGCGAACACCACAGCGCAGGGCCAGGGGCAAGCGCTGGATAATGTCCGCTTAGCGACTGACCTCAGCTGAGAAGTGGACGGGCTAATAGAGAGCAGGGCTGGGGCTGGACATTTACTTCTCAAACCTGGTGAGCACGTCGGCCACGAGGGTCCCCCCAGCCAGGGCTCGTTCCTGGGTCCCTCGCTGCTCGTACAGTGCGAATGCGTTGCTGCTGCGGGCCAAGCCCAGCCGCCCCACCAGCTCTCGAGCCACCTAGAAGAGGAGAGTGAGGGGAAAGTCAGACCACTCAGGGTTCTTGCCAGGATTCTGGGAGGGGTTGATTCAATTAGAAGGGGTCTCTTAGTCCTGTCACCACCACTGCCTCCCTTACCAAAATAATCTGAGACTCGGGGCAAACCTAGGGTCCAGGAAGCGGGTGAGACAAGCGTGAGAAGCTGGCAGGGTGGGTTGGAGGTCATGGGGCCTTTCTCTGGCCTCACCTCCCCCGCCGTGGTGTGGGAGTCGATGGCCACAGTACAGGCACCAGCCCCCGGACAGTGCACGGTACACAGCAGCTCCTGCCGTTGGCTCAGCGCGGAAATCTCCGCCAGCGAGGGCACCAGCTCTCGGCCGCGCGTCCGGCCCAGCGCTTTCCGGATGAAGCGCGCATATTCCGCCAATTCCGAGTCCGGGAGTGCCTGCTCGGTCCTGGTTGGGAGGAACCCAAGGATCAATACTCCAAGGGCTTTTCTTCCCCTCCCTCTTGCCTTCTTCTCTTATAGTTTATTTTATCTAGCCGATTTCCTCCCCGCCCCAACTTAAGTTTTTGAAGGCTCTTCTAAATCTATCCCCAGTGCTTTGCATAGAGCTGAATTACTTTTCAAGTCCCCTGGCAGCTTTCTCCCAACTGCTCCCACCACTTCCGAAAGTCTGCGTGATTTTCCTTCGACCTGAAATCGAAATCCAGCCACTTTACTACATTTTCCTAAGCCCTGGCGCTGGCCTGCATCAGCTCGAGGAAAAGCAGCCTTTTCATAATTCCTCAGCCCAAGGGGGGCGTTTTATTGTAATTCATCCGCTCACAACTGAGATAGGATCTTGTATCTTCCACAAAGGCACTGTATATATTACTGGGTTCTTTACCTACCAAGCCTTTTGCAAAAGACCCTTCGTTCTCTCCCAGCCCGGTAGCACCTCGCCTAGGCCGTAACCCCCGCCCCGCCCCTCTCACCTCTCCAAGTGCCCCAGGAGGTGCCCCCGCACAGCTCCCCCAGGCCGGAAGGTGCAGCTCATGCAGGTGAGGAGTTGCCAGTACCGCAGGGTCGCAGGGTCTTGGGTAGCCGGGAGCCCGGGGGGGCCTGCAGGGCCCGAGGTCTGCTTAGCCAGCTGCAGGAAGAGTTCATCCCGGAGCGCGGGCAAGTCCCGGCAGGTTTGGAGCACACCCTGCATCAAGGGCCCGGGGCGCCGCGCCCCCTCCAGCGCCTG